ATTGTAAAATTGTTTTTTTATACGTTGCACACCGTGTGAAAAATCAGTCGTAATAACATCAACGTTCTTACCTCGAAAGCCAGGTACGTACGTACATCACGATTACCCGATTTTTCCGATTTTTTAAATTAAGTAGTTTCTATAGTAAAATCGCATTTCCGACACTTAACTAAGACCGGTTTTGATAGCCAATTTTTGTATTTTTCGTGTTTTAGTCTTTGGCGTCTCGCCTTGTTTTGTTCGGGCTGATCAGGGTTATATATCGGGTAATCTCGTGATGTACCTGGCTTTAGCCAACCCCCATTACTTATTTTTAATTTTCGTGTTGTCAATACAATTCGTTTTCCAGACGATATCATTAAATTAATATGATACGAGTTTTATTTAAATGACTGCGCTAGTAAATAATAAAATGCATAAAATAATTCATAATAAATCAATAAAAAATACCCATCCCTTATTTTATGGATTAAGAATAATTATATGGTATATAATTAAAATTATATCGAGAATAATTATGTATATCAAAATATAAATATTAATTGGAAAAAGAAAACCGGTTTGAACTAAAAGAAAGTAATGATCTTCTTTTTGACTTCTTATCAGCATCGGTAATTGTACCATTTGGATTTGTACCGAATATTGAACTTTGTCTCTAAATTAGTGTAAGATCATATTAGATTAATATTATAAAGGGGTGACCATTTTATATCTAGACAGAGAATTAAATTTTACCTTCTTGACAAATTCTTTTTCAGCAAGAATACAATTTGCAACATAAAACCCTATGCTCATTGTTGTTATCTTAGAAAATTAAATAAGAATGTTGAATTAGTTTTGTATTTATTTGCGTAAATAAACACAAATAATGACATGTAAAATTACCATTGGACTAGCACCAGTCGAGGTAGGAAATACACTAGAGTCTGCAACGTGAAGACTTTTTACATCCCACGATTCTCCGAAAGGATTGACCACGGATTTAGTCTGATCACTTCCCATTCGACTAAAAACAAACTTTGTTTAAAAAAATTTTTTCACATAATAAAAATAATAAATATATTGTCCATACCAAGTTCCCATTTGAGATATACTTCCAAGGCAAGCTTGTCCATTAGAAACCCCAACTTTCTTAACTTTCTCAAGGTATTGTAAAAACTTAGGATCATTCAATGGGTTTTCACCTGGAACCACAAATTCTTCTACCTCAGCTTGACAAGTTCCAATTTTAGTTGCTCCAGCTGCAACAAGAATTTTGAGACTTGTCAATATTCCGGCGATGATACTTTCAGCATCATGTGGACTTAATTTATAGTCTAACTTCGGAAGACCTTTGGAGTCAACTTTGATTTGACCCGAATCTCTGTCGCGAGCTATGATAAGAAGCGGAACGATGTGATTGTATTGGAGCATAAATTGTTTATGTTGTAGTGGGGATTTCCAAGGGAAACTTGTAGACATCATGGCAGGATGATAAGATCCAACGACTATTTTTACGCCATAGTTTTCTCCGTCGACATTTTCTTTGGCGTCACATACCTGTACATTTTATATTGGTCAATGTTTTTTTATAATAAATCGCGTGCACATAGTAGAACTGAATCTACGCATACCGCACTTTGGATAGTTCCAGAGTAAATGTTAATATCTTTGTTAGGGAATATACCGTAGACGGCAGCAGTAGGATTAGTGAATAAATTCTTGCCAATATTCTTGTTCTTAAGTCCACTTCGCAAAAGCAAAGCAGGGCTATGGAGAGCACCGCATGCAACAATAACTTTCTTAGCATTAACTTTAAATTTATTCCCTCCATTGTTGACCGTGGCTTCAACACCAACAACCTTATTATTTTCAATGATAATTCTTTCAACAAAACAATCTTGTATAAATTTAACACCATAATCCTTAGCATCTTTTAAATAGGTCATCGCGGTACTTTGTTTTTCACCATACCGACAACCGAAGCCACACCAACCACATTCATGTAGTTTAGATGCAGAATTTTGTGGAATAGTGGAAACAGGTGCACCAAGTTTTTTGCAACCCTCAATAAGAATTTTATTGCTTTCGTTGTGGATGACATTGCTACTACTGACACCTAATCGATTTTTGATGGTTTTTATGAAATCGACAAAATCATCATCCATAAAATGATTCAATCCAAAACTATTGGCCCATTCTTCGCGAATAAAATGACTTGGCTGTGGTGATCACACGATATATGCGAGAAGTCATTAATAAAGATAATTAGACATTCCAATATTTTAAAATATTATATTGGTATATAATCTTTTGCATACATACTTCAACTGAAGTGGACCAACCGATGGTGGTACCACCACCAAAGTTTGATCCTGCAAGGACGGTCATGCTAACAAAACGTTAATAAAAACTTTGTTAACCAAAAAAAATATCAATTTATTACTCTGTATTAGATAACATTTAAAATAGTTTACCTACTATCTTCCGAAAGCATCCCACCTCCAAGTTCATATAATGTTTCATAACTATCTTTCTCTTTCAAGGTCAATTCACTTTGATGATAGTGATGGCCTTTTTCGATAACAAGCACTGAATTACCTGTTACATTAATTTGTTGAAATTTATAATAAGTAATTATCGGTTTTAAGATGCATATTAGCATTTATAAATTTACCAGATTTTCTTGCCAAACGTGCAGCAGCCACACTTCCACCTGCTCCAGAACCGACAATAACAACATCAAATTCCAAATCTTTTGTATCTTCCGTAATTTTAATAAATTCATATTCTGGGAACGTACGTCCTTTAAATCTTGGTCCATTTATTTCAGGATCAGGTCCTGGATAACCGATTGCCGGATAGAGGTTATAAGGATTTAACCAGAAGGCAGAGCGAGCCAGAAAAGAAATAGTTTTATAAAATTGTTTAATCGATGCCTTTTGACTAGTACTCCATTTAGCAACAGCGGCGGCGCGTTGTTGTAAACTAAGTTCATAAAAAAGTTTTGTTGGTGAATTTGTCATCGAATAACTAGTCATTCTACTACACATTTTCTTTAACATTGAGCTAATTCGTGCAAATTGATGTGGAGGAATGGTTTTTCGCAGACGATTGAATAGCCTTGCCGAAAAATCATCTTTATCTTCGAAATTTATCTGTCCAAATTCTTTAATTTTATCGACACTTTTTGGAGCATTGGTATAAGTTTTTGTGTTTGTATAAATGTCGAGGTCTGTTCCATTTAATTCACTTATAAAAACACCACAAATTGCAAGGAAAATTTTTCTTTGCTTTTCAACTAAATGGAAATTTTCATCATAAATATCAATTGACTTAACGTCACTTGATTGGCTTCCATCGTGGAGTGAATGTTTTTCATCAGTCATCTTTGGAAATTATACAGAAAGTATATATTTCCAATCAAGTTTGTGACAAGAAAAAAGTTTATTTTTTAAAGAAAAAAGAAGGAGCGGATTGATTTTTTATTATATAAGCTTAATAAAAGATAACGATAAATTTTCAAAAATTAAGGTTTGTATACCATATACGGACATGATAGGTATACCATATACGGGCATGATAGTAATAAATTCGTACGTACGTACAGAACAATAAAATCATTATCATATTTATAATATATGTAATAATAATATTATTTTTAATATTAATATTTACTATTTTTTATATAATACGTATTATTTTTTATCAGAATTTTTATCTAAGCATGGTTCACAAGACCTATACATAAAAAGTTTTAAATGCTCTTATCAATAACCATTATTGACTCTTTTACTGCCAGTTTAATCTTTTAAAAAATTTAGAATAAGTATAACGTATGAGTAAATACATTCTTAATTTGTTATGCATTTACATAATTTTGACTTTAAACATGGTTATCTGGTAGTTCAACTAAGAAAATCTTTGACCAACCATACTTAACTTTTTTAGATTTCTTATCAGTGATTTTCTTGCCATGGATAGACCATTCATCATATGGAAGATCACATATATCGTTCCGATTTGTGATCGTTAATGACTATTTTGAGAAAGATTGGATGAGTTCTTTAATTCTACGTACTAAAATTTGAGGTGATACGTGTGCGAACGCCAAGATTTCAATGATATTACTGTATTACAGTTAATGTGCTTAGCACAGGAACAAATATTTTGATTATTGAATCAACGTGAAATTTGTGCAAGTTAGTAGAGGTGTAAACAAACCATTAGATTTATAATCTCAATTATGTCTGATCTACAAATTAGAAACTTGGAAATCATTAAATATTTTTATAAAATTATTAAGAAATTCAATAATTATATGATAATTTGTTATTCTATATTGAAAAACTATGTTTGAACATAGACCAGCAACTTTTCACATTTTTCCAGAATTTCCATATCCGATAATCGTATTTATTGTCCACCTCCCATAATTTTCTTGTGTAGTTAAGAGACGACTACGTAAACGGCGAATCAGTCACTCCAACTTACTAATTTTCACGTAACCTACGATCGGTTTAGTCGAAAGGGACATTTAGATTGCGGGTTAGTAATTTCCTCTATAGTTTACTACAATTTATACTTTGTCTTCTAGTTCTCACCACAAACTGATCTCTATCTTGTACTACTACTCCGGATCGGTCTAGATTTCTCTTTCAGGTAAATGCCTTTAATCACGGCTTTCCACACTTCTTTAAGTTAGCCAGAAAGGTTCGTGTTGTTTCACTGACAATCATTTTATCGATAAGTTATTTAACCGACATCATATACTGAATTACATATTCTGGGAGGCTTTGTTCGGTATAGAATGGGTTAATTATATAGTTTACTCTCTCTATACCGGACAGTTCGATATACAGAGTTAACCAATAAAATCATGTGTAGGATCTTAACGGACCAGTACGTCTCCGAACATTCTCGACCCTCACTCTAAATTTTGTCTTAAATTTTGCCTTAAACTTGCACCTGTTTGGAATAGTTCGTAATATCGAAATATGTGTACATAGTACTGGGCTGGTAAAGAAGAGTTCTGATGCGGTATATAAAAATTTACTATATAAATTCGGTATAACCATCATAAAAAATCGGTTCTGCCAGATCAGAGTCGACTGTATTAATAAGTTAAAAAACGAATAAGCCCTGGGTCCTATAGGCAGTGCTACTTATCCACACTTTAACTTCTCTATAATCACGGTCAATTCGGATACGTTAAATTGACCGAAATTTAAATAGAGGTATGATCAATGAATATTCGATATTTTGTTACACAAAATTCATGGATAATCGAGGATTGGTAATATAATTGATTCATAAATATTCGTGAATAGTTTCATGAATATTCGCGGTTATAAATAATCACTAGTGATTTGACTCGTCTAAAAAACCCCACCCGGGTCACCCGACGGGTGGACCATATGTCACCCGCGTGAAAACCGGGTTACCCAACGAGTAGACCATATATCATCTGCGTGAGATGGATGGTTTAAAGCTGTTTCATAATTTCTGGGACACCTGTAAAAAATTAGCTAAATGATTTTTTGGCCGATCTAGTTATTATTTCGGCATAAGAATTTCAATAAAAATTGGTATGCCTGATAGTTTTTTTATAATAAAACTTATAAAAATTGAAATTTATAGAGTTCCAATCCGGATAAATCCGTCATCCATTTATCCATATCTGAATTTATCCGGATATCCATTTACGATTGATATCCAGATAATCCGACAAATATTCGGATAATTATTCGGATATCAATAGTAAAACGGATATCCGAATAAATTCTGATCTGGATATCCAATAGACAAATGGATAAATGGATAATGGATAGGAACTCTAGAAATTTATATAACCTATAAAATTTAATATATTTATATTGTTAATTTGTAAAATTGGGCCTTTTTATGACCCTTATATTGTGATAAACCAATTAGCATTATTAAATTTAGACCATCAAATCATTAATATATCATATAATAAACTTATAATTAGTCAAAAAATAACACTATAGATCAAATATAGTATAGCTTACTCCTTAATAAAATCTTTAAAAATCTTTAATTTAATTACTATATACTATAATATAATCTTTTAAATTAGCTTTTTAATCTTGATTAGAATATTAATTATAATATAAATACATTAAAATTATCATATAAAATTAGTAAATTAAATAGTTTTTTAAAAGGGGTAACCTATACTATATTTGATCTCTCCACACCACCAGTTCATATTTCTAAATAATCAAAATTAAGAGAAAACAGAATAGCAAGAACTATACAACTAACAACAAAGAAAACACAAGGTCTACAGGCTGTATAGTACCATTTACCCTTATTATCTGACCTCAACTCCAAATGAGTGAACATAATAGTAACAGTCAAACTAACAAAGGCAAAAAGACAGCTACACCCAAATTAGACTCTATTTATACTAATACAAGTGCAAAGAGATGACGTATTCTTCTTTCAAGACCACCTACAAATATCAAAAGTGGGCCATCCAGCTTACCTTCTTTAAAAAATAATATGATATCATCACATTACAACAACAACAACAACCAACTCGTACAAACAGGTTTTAACAACATCCAAACAGAGTCTCTGATAAAAAACAACAATATAATGATAATTTCCTACAACAATAACTCTAACATTACTATATAGATAACATACCTCATTCTAGAAATGACAACACATCTAAGCCTCCAAATAACAACAACAATACAACAACACAGACACACAACATGGGATCTACAGCAGCTCAGATATTACTTAATAAGGAGACCTAGTAGATACTGAAATGACCACTCCTATTACTGAACTAGAAAGTATGCAAACTAACACTAAAATAGAAACTGATACAACCTCAACCATTTCTGTATATCAAGATAGCCCTAACACACTTACATACAACCAAATGACTAAACAAAATTTGATCAGCAATACAATACAAATTGATGAGGACTCAATTTAAAAATGGTTAAAATATATATATAAAAAGTTAACAAAAGAAATTACACAGCCTTTCAACAGCTACACATGGCACTACAACAAACTGATTATTAACCTCCAATCTAACAAGAGTCTACTGGATTTCATCAAATACAAAATAGCAACCAAACCTACTCAAAAAAAATCTTTTTAGGCATCTCTGCCAAATTTAAGTACCTAGACTAGGCATTTTTCTTACCTTCATTAGAGTTAAACACTTCACACCACAACATCAAACAGAATATGAAGAGATATTCTATAGTGCACTACAAAATTATAAAAAAGCAAATCAAATTACAATAACTAACAAAGACACAAGAGATAACATTCATCAGAAACTTCGACAAAAATTATTTCTTGATTATATAACAAATACAAACTTCAACATCTATCTTCCCAAATATATTACACAACTAATCAAATACTACAAGAGATTTACTAAAGATATAATATTAAACAAACATGAAAAAATTTAAAAGGCAGTCCAAGAAGCCTTTTCTAAAAAACTCTAACAACTACCTAATTATCCAGATGATATTCCAAAGAACATACAACAAATATTACTCTTTACTCTACCTATAAAAAACAAAGCTTATACTAAAGCAGTAGTCACTGCACTTCACTATATATACCAATTTGACCAACTACCTAAGGAGTACTTTACAAATCTAGACTCCCTCCTAACTAACTTAGCCAATCTTCATCTAGCAGTAAAAAACCTTTTTTCAATCACTGATAGAAAATGCCTTAGAGAATTAGGCAACTATAAAAAAAAACTTAGCTAATATTATGAGGTGAAAACAATACTACCAAATTACTTTGACCTACTACCATCCAAAATTCGCCTATTTTAGTATACCAAAATCTTAGTCATAAATATAGAAGCTACTTCCCACTAGACCTAAATAACTGCCATGGCAAATCTCAAAAAATTATAAAAGAACTACAAGAAGAATACTTCTTCAAAAACCTGCTTAATGACTACTGCTAAGCAAAACTTTCTCTCTTTAAAGATCTAAACAAAATCAAAACTATGAAGACCTATACATTTCTAATTAATGACAAGC